CATATAATTTATGCTTTTGGTTGCAAGCCATGCAACTGTCAGACGGAGAAGTCTCATTCGATGAAGAAAAAAATGAATTTGATTTAGACAACCGCCTTTCATTTTTATTATTATGGTTATAGTTGCTAGATGACCTGTTTAAGTTAATTGTCTCCAAAACAGTCGCTCTCTGACGCAAGAAAGCAAAGAATTCCTCTAAGGTAGGAGACTCCTTATCGTTCCTAGATTCCTCCCATTTCCTAGCGGTAACACTGTCTAACTTCGCCGATGCCATATAAATAATAAGCGAGTCCCACTGCTGGGTAGGCTCACCTAACGAACTTAACGCACTTAAATTCTTTGATAAATTGTCAATTATAAGCCGTATTCCCTTTTCAGATTCTTTGTGCAATGCTTCTATAGAGAATAGGGACTTAATATGCTCATTAATAAGCAGCCGCTTATTGTCAAAATGCTGGCACAGTAAAGACCACGCAATTTCATAATTATCAGCTGATATCGTCACTGATTCTATAACTTTACTAGCTGAACCCTTTAAATACTGTTTTAAGTAATGAAATTTATTTATATTATCGATGCTGTCATTGTTGTGTATTAATGAGAGATAGGTATCTCTAAAGGAAAGCCAGTTACTATGATGACCTTCAAAAGGTGGAATCTGAATCGACGGTAACCTTAATTTAACCAATGAAGAATGATTGGACTTGTGTGATGTTAACTCATCACCTGTTTTTTTCTCAAAATAATCGAGCAGCGCCTGACCGCTAGCTATCAACTCATAAAATCGATTTTCTGTAATTTCGCGTTCCTTAAATTGAGTTTGACCACTTTCATCATCATCTAATAATTCAATTTGTGACTGAATTTCGTCAAAACTCAAGGAAAGGTTGCGCAAACTATTAAGTCTCAAGCGCAGCTCGTTTATCTTAACATTGCTAGTCTCTTTCACATCTAATAAAGGATTTAAATATTTTTCAAATACAGTTAATCGTTGCCTAAACGAAGCTCGTCGCTTAATGAGATCCTTGAAATCTTGATCACTCATTTTTTTAATTTAAAATCAAGCAACAAACACGCAAGTTCAATAAACACAAATAAACAACTCCTATTTAGTAGTCAATGCAATGCGACGTACCCGGCCGGAACAGCTGACGCGCCGATAAGACACTCGTAGGTAAGATGTGCGTCACACGGTGGCACGGTGCACAAACACAGTGCGTAGCTGGAATACGGCGCGACACACTCACCGATAATTTATCAAATTACGCACAGCTTGCTTTCCAATTTCGCCTGGAATATTTGAGAAATAGGTTTGGCGTAATGTTTTGTATAAATAAAATAAGTTTAGAATGATCTAGATAAAAACTAACTGCAATTTGTTGACTCGAAATGCCGGTACAATGACAGCAAATGACAGGGCGAAACGCGGTAAAACGAGATACGAATTAATAGAATGTAGTCTTTTATTTAGTTAGAAAGGAAATAACGTGCTTAATTTAACTGAAATTAGTTAAAGTGATAGCAAAAGTAGAAATAATTTGAAAAAGTAGCACACTAAGACGGAAAAAATCACATTTTACCGTAGATATGTAGGTACCTATGAAGAACTATCGACACCATTTACTCAAATAAAGGGAGAAGGAAACGAAAAATAGACAAGGATTGAGCAACTTCCCTCGGTTAGGTGGCTGCAGCTGCTGGCTGGCGAGATCCTGAGGTTGAATATTGCCTCCTTTGTTGATTTCTTAGTCTCCGCTTGGCGGCTTTTGTTATGTTGTTTGTGTGCAGTTCTTCTGTAGATCACGTCGGGGTCACCAATGAATCCGCTAACTCCTGGGATTTTCTTTAAATAATAGGTCGACTATTTTGTAGATTTTAATGCTATTTTTATTTGATTCGATACAAAAACAAACGGTTCGATCGGGTTTCAAAAAAGTTGTGTTTTGACATTTCGCGGTGTTGCCATGGGCGAAAGCTAATTCTTAACAACAACAATTGATTTAAACAAGCGTTTTCTGATGAAGTAAGACGTAATTTTATTGCTTTACACATCATATTACGCAGTTAATTCGAAAATAAGGTACAGCCATTAAAATAAACAAAGATTTAAAAAGTTTCAAAAAACTTACCATCGACGTGTAGCTTATTAATATGGCCGCCAGGAAAGAAGTGAACGATTTTTAAATTCATGTGTTTTTTACTAATGTAAATAGCGTGTTCATCGCTTTTATTTATTATTAAACGATTGATAGAAGTACGGCAATTTTTTTTTTTTTTTTAAAACATTACCCTTACTTTAGGATTACATTATCCTGTGTTGTAGGAACGTTTTACAAACATAAATTTCACGTAAGACAAACACCCAGATGCGAAACAACTATCTGTGGGTCGCACAAATAGTTGTCCCGTGTGGGAATCGAACCCACGACCCCCGACGCCGAAGCCAATACCTTGGCAACTGCGCCACGGAGTCATCAAGTACGGCAATGCTACCGAACGTAAAAAAAGTGGCGGGAAATTCGACAGAAGGTTATTTTTGATGTGAAGTTAGAAATGGTGTACTACTGTTTCCTGGTGTGGCACTGGTGTACCCAACCTATATAGAAAATAAAGTACACGGTACATAATAAAATTTTTTTCAATGTTTGTCCGTCTGTCCGTTTGTTCCGGCTAATCTCTGAAATGGCTGGACCGATTTTGACCAGACTTTCACTGGCAGATAGCTGATGTAATAAGGAGTAACTTAGGCTATTTTTATTTTACAAAATTTATTTATTTAAAATTCCGCGCGGACGAAGTCGCGGGCACAGCTAGTCTACAATAATTTTCTTCATGTGGTTCTGCTCGTTTGACCTAGAACTTCTGTTCTCTGTGTATGATAGTTTAGCGATTATTAAAAAAAATCCGTTCTACTTATTATCAGTGTGTCCTTGAAAGTACCTAATTCTCGTTTTTTTTATATATTTATCAAACTGCTTTTTTCTTAGCTCTGCTAACTTGAAGCATTTGGAATACTGTACCATTCACTATTTAATTCCATTAGAAATGTGGGTTTCTTTGATTTACCGCGAAGTCATAATTAAATCACTTATATAGCGTACTAGCTGCTGCTCGCGACTACGTCTGCGTAGAATAGGCTGAAGGCGTAACATTAAGACAGAAAGACAGATGTACATAAATTATGTATATAAATTATAGCCTATGTTTTATTCTGATGTATAAGCTATATTATGGTAAAGTTTCATTAAAATCCATTCAGTAGTATTTACGTGAAAGAGAAACAAACATCCATCCATACATACAAACTTTCGCCTTTATTATATTAGTAAGGATGATATATGTTTTTGCACCGTTTTTTAGAGATGATAGTGCAAGCTTTTTCAGCATATTATGAAATTTTCATTTGACCAATTTATTGTATTTACACCTCAAAGGCACCTAATAAAACATTTAATTATAAAGTTTTTATATTTTTCATTCAATCATTATTTTGTTATTCTTCCAGCAAGGTCTCTACCTGTGCAGTTAACATTAATAACAAAAAAAAATTAATTAAAACTTTGAGCACCTAAATTCTTATAATTTGGCACCTCATTAGTACCTAAAAGCACTTAATTTTGAAATCAAGTTTTGAACACTGCTCTGCTAGCTTAACAGTCACGAGCACAGTGGCGCCTTTTAGATTAACAGGGAATGGAACGGAGGTAGTCTAACTCAGGAATAACCTAATGTTATTATCTGTGGTAGGACCACGCAACAGTGTTCGCTGTTGCACGAATGGGCAGGTCCGTCCGGGTGAGTACCACCTCACAGAAGACCGGCGTAAAGTAGAAGTGTTACACTTCTGCGTTTCGTCTGGTGAGCGTCTGCATTCTGCGTCTGGTAGCCGGGGCCCACATTATTAAAAGGTGGCAACACATCTGTAACCGGTGTGGCAAATGTCCGTGGGCGGCGGTTATCACTTAACATGAGGTGACGGTTCACCTGATGTTTCACCAGCACGTTTGCCACTTTCTCATATGGAAAGAAATAGCAAACGTAATTCGTAGTGATGGTATTAAACTATTTCTAGAAAATTAACTCAACTAAAAGGTACATACAAGGATAGGAAGCAATAAAGAAAATCAAATACTTCAGTTTTAACACTTGTTATATTCATTAACACAACTGCGAAGGGGCCCCCGTATAAATAAGTTGGCGAGTACACAGAGGTCAGCAGCTTTCTTGGTTAAAATAAATAAGACAGTTGCTTGGTGTAGATAAGGCTCCTTTGGTATATTTTAGTTATTTATCACTACATAGTACAAAACAAAGTCTGTCCCTATGTATGCTTAGATCTTAAAAACTACGCAACGGATCTTGATGCGGTTTTTTTACTAGATAGAGTGGTTCAAGAGGTAGGTTTATATGTATAATACATTGCAAACGTGTGAAGTCGCTATGCAGTATGACGCGGGCGACGAAAATAGAATCTTCATCCTCCAAAAGAAAGCAGTTATAACCTGGGCCCCAAAGGATCGCTAAGAAATGTGTTTAAAGACATAAAGAGATCGACTGTTGCTTCTCAGTATATACTTACAAATGTTATATATGTCGATAAAAACAAGCATACATTTTCAAGAAAGTAATGTCCATGATACATTAGGAAAACATAAAATAAATCCACCCATAACTAGACTGCGTAGAACAAGTAAATCTTTTAAGGGACAATTTATACGTTTCTCCAACAAAATCTTATAAAACGTTCAAAATTTATCAATTGCTCAATTTCAAAAAAATATCTAAAAGAACGTTTGTGTCTTAAATGCTATTATAATATTAATGGCTATATTAATACTCAGAAAACCTTCACAATATTTCTTGTAAAGGAACGTTTGTGTGTTAAATCTAAAATTATAATATTAATCGCTATTACAATATAAATAACAAGTTACTCACAACGTAACTGAAACATTAAAGCTCAGACACACGAAAATTGGTCGTATTTATACTAGAGTTCATCTGGTTTTCTTATGACAATTTATATTGATAGTCGGGGAGCCGTTGGGTGTGAAGCCCCTCTGGTTGCACACAAACTGGTCGTCCAAGTCGCGGATTTTGAGTTCGTTCTTACCCCAGAACGGTATAGAGAACTCGACGATAGCCACCTTCTTCGCACCCTCGTGTATTTCGAATGTACCCTCGGTGCCGGAGGGACTGCCGGAGCGCCCCGAAGCCAAGAAGTCCGCCGATTTATCACTGTTGAATCCAATGTTGTTCACTGTGGTCACGTCCCTACCTCCCAGCCGCCACTTGCCCCAGGACAGCGCTGCATTCATGATGAAGCCTTCTTCGCTGACACCTTTCCCGTTCGTGACTAAGAAGTTTGCGTAATAGCCCCGCCGCTTGGGTGGGAGCAGTCTTCTTGACGTCACGCACTCCAACACCAGCGCCAGCACCGTGAACTGGATTAGGGATGTGGTCTTCATGATCACACTTGTAGCAGACTGAATACTTTCAGATCCGAGACTATATTTTTATATGATTCCGCCCATCGCGCGGTGAATTTTGACGTCATTCGTTCAGAAAAACCAAAAGTAAAATAATGTTATTAAATTTCCTGCCTTGTACGGCCGCTTATCACGCTGTCCAGATAATTAAAGGTTTTTACAGATTCAATGACGTCAACATTTATCCCCTGTTACGGCCGGGGATCGGAATTTTTTCGGAAAATACTTTATGCTCTCTTGCTAAAAATTATGTAGCGTAACTGTTACGTTACATTTTCTGTGGAGAAAAGGAGCAAACCATCAGGAGGCCCACCTGATGGTAAATGATCACCGCCGCCCACGAACACCTGCAACACCAGGGAGCTTACAGATCCGTTGCCTGCCTCTCAGTAAAGAACACAGAACGGTTTTTAGGTAGGAAATACTGTAGGAAAATCGCGCTCTTTTGGAACGCTGGACATCGAGTGTTATAATCATTGTACATATTTAATCTAATTAATAATTTATCAATCATCGATTAGTACCTTTTGTTGTGATTTATCTAACTTGTTGGTTTGACACCTATATTGCATCACGTGATATTCCCCACTTCCTAGAGTGGGGTCGGTTGGTATTTCTTTTTAATCAGTATAAATTCAAATCTTACAACGTATGCGGGTTAGGTTTTTTGGTCATTGGAAGTTAAGGCTGCTGCTCTGCTGGAGAGCCTAAGTATTATTGTTATCCAATTATTGAGTTATTGTTGTATAAATTGTTTGAAGCTGTTTTATAACTTATTTCTAACGCGAGGTGGTGTGAATGAAATTTTTGGTTTTGGCGCGATGTTCGATGGTGAAATTCAGCCGACGGGATCAATCCAAACATTTCCCCCATGCCTCCCAAAGGTTTTAATCAGTAGCGGACTTATTTTCCGCCAATAGGCTGTTCGACTTTTGCCCCCGCTACTGACCTCTTAAATTCGATACATATTCCATATTATTCGCAATGATATTAATTACATTCACACCCAGTTTCTGCAAATTTTCATTCTGATCATTAAGATCATTCTGATCAATTCAGAGAGTTTAACTATCCTTTTGGCAACTCACGGTGGTAGGGCCACGCAGCAGCCTCGGCTGTTGCACGAATGGGCAGGCCCGTCCGGGTAAGTACCACGACCTCACAGAAGACCAGCGTAAAGTGGAAGTATGACAAATACTTTCGCGTTCCGTCTGGTGAGTGAGGTAGCCGGAGCCCAATTTTCAAAAGGTTGTCAACACATCTGTAACACTCGGGTGTAGCAGATGTCCATGGGCGGCGGTTTTCAATTACCATCATTCGTCTGCTCGTTTGACAACTTTTCGCATAAAAAAAAAAAAAAAACTCAAATAATATTTGAAAAGCCATTTGACAGCTGATTAGTTAACTTCTACGATGATCGGTTTCAGAAACCTGTCAATTAAATTGCAACTTTTGATATGTGCTCTATCGTCTTCCTTACATCAGTATTTCCTTTTTAGCGTGATTTTGAATTAGGGTTTCATTCTGTCAGTTTCTAGATTATTTTTACGACCAACAATTTAGTGAAAATTACACGAATACCAATATATGAACACAATTAACACAAAATAATGTACGTTTAGTAAACGTTGTTAATATTTTTTTTGTTGCACTTACAGTTTATACTGTTACGAGCTGGGGGTTCGGGATTGCAGTGAAAAGCCGGTCGTTCAAATGTTTACTTTATCGACGCCAACAACGACTTGCACAGCGGCACACTCAATACCGGTCTAGTCCTTACTACTACAACCGGTGCGACGACTCTCCCTTTCCGCACCAATCTCACAGTGTCACGACTACCGGTGCCATCCCTCTCGCACCTATCTCCACGTACTTGTCCACAGGTGCAACGACCCACGAGTTACCGCACCGACCCACCGCGTACGACTTTACACTACTAGTCACTTGGCGTCTCTGTTCACTACTATACTGTTCACTCTATTTATTTCACTTTTCCACTTTCTTCTTCCTGTTCCTTCTTCCTCGAGTTAACTCTACTCCATTGAACTGCCCAGATCATAGCTGATTTCAGATATTTAAAAGTACTCTTTGGAACTGCCGTCTAGCGCGCTCTGAGCCCCTTTTATAGTCGGAATTTCGTTCCTTTTTTAAATAAAGTTCTGGAATTCGAACCTTCTTTCAAACTACACTAATAATTTAAAAGAACATCATATACGTCATTTCAAACTGTCATCGACAGATCTTTGACATTTAAGACGTCAACCCCGTAATCGTAATAATCCTCATCGTCATCATCATTTCAGCCTGTTCGAGTCCACTGCTGAACATAGGCCTCCACAGACTGCCACGAAGTACGATCTCGAGCCACCTGCATCCATCGACTTCCCGCACATTTGCACAGGTCGTCACTCCATCTAGTGGGGAGTCGTCCCACATTACGATACCCAGTTCGAGGCTGCCACTCGAGAACCTTTCTTCTCCAGCGGTTACCGGTTCTACGAGCTATATGGCCGGCCCATCGCCACTTCAGCTTGCTAACCTTCTGACCTATGTCGGTTACTTTTGTTCTACTGCGGGTGTCTTCGTTGCGAACTCTACCACGCAGAGAAATTCCGAGCATATGGCAAGCAGTGAAGAACCAATACTATACTATTATATATCATACAATTTAAAGAGAAACAATTTGTAAACGCTGCGCAGTATGGACATGCGTATTTTTTTAAACATCGTTAAGTACCACACACACACTAGATGTAACTGTTATTTAGTGCTTAGAAGAACAGTACTCCATCAGCTTCTAGAGTGCATGTTCGTGACAACAAATAATGTAGTTTTATGAATAAAAGTCCATGCTATAAAACCTGTTGTATTTTAAGAGAGAATATATGGACGAATCAACGTAAAACAGTAACGTTTTGAAGTTATTAACAAACACTAAATGCTTGATTCTGCTTAAAGTACACCTTCAATGCTACTAATTAGGTGTCATTATCTATGGTTTCTGGATGTTTGTATATGTATAATATGTATTAGTTTACGAAAGAAAAGTAAGTTTTAAGTATGTTTATCAGATATCTAGTACCCATAGTTTTTCATTTGCTTAGTCTGGGAGAAGAGAACGTTGTGAAAAAATGTGTCCTGAAAATTTTATTATTATTATTATACGTGGGCAGGCCAAATTGCTCGAAGAACCGATTGGGAAAAAAGGTTCTCGAGTGGCGACCACGGACTGGTAGACACTCTAGGTGGCCCGACGACATCGTAAGAGTCGCGGGCAACCAGTGGATGCAAATGGCAAAGTGTCGTTCGTTGTGGCGTTCTAAGGGGGAGGCCTATGTTCAACAGTGGACGTCTTGGGGCTGATTATGATGATGATGGTTAGAGATTAATTAAGTCGGCGAGTGCATAATGTCAACGTCACTTTTTAGTTCCGCTCCTACAGACACTTTTAAGGCAAAACATTATTCTAAAACATTTAAAGCGCCTAGTATTATTGGCACGGCAAATATTAACTTCCGACTCTCGTCTCTTCAAATTACCCGGGAATTAACAGAGAGTAACACAAAAATGAACTTTCAGTTTTATACTCATTTTAATACACAATAAATAAAAAAATGAGTTTATGTGACGACGAGCTTAACTCCTTTGTTATAGGAGTTACGCCCGGTTTCTGAAACACTGATCATCGTAGTTTACTAATCAGCTGTCAAATGGGTTTTCAAATGTTATTTGAGCTGCCAAAAGGATAGTTAAACTCTTTGAATTGTTCATTCTCATCATTAAGAAGATCATTCTTATGATACTTTCTGTCATTGTCAACTGTACAAGAGTTGCAAAGATCAATGAGGAGAGTAACAGACCACGAGGGCTAATTTCTAATGTTTCGAAACCATAGCTGCCTTGAAGAGTTTTACGCTGCAGCTATTCGCTTTGATTTGATTCACCCTGAGTAGAAATTAAATACGGCTCAATTGGTGAGGGTTCGAAGACACCAATATACGTATCTGAACATCTTTGTTCCTCAAACTGTTGCTCGCCTTAAAGCAAAAGACAAAGGCATTCGAGAGCTGAACACCAATCTTATAAGGCGTCCGCAGAAAACCAGTGCTGTGGTACTTGTCGCCGCGGCTATATAGCGGAGACCATTTTGGTGCATACATTTTTACGACTTCAGTGTAATTCTTGTTTAATCACTATATATAAAACAAAGTACAAAACAAAGTCGTCCCGCTGTCTGTCTGCCCCTACATATGCTTAGATCTTTATAACGACGCAACGGATTTTGATGCGGTTTTATTCAATAGACAGAGTGATTCAAGGGGAACGTTTATATGTACAATTCATGCATAATATAGTAAAGAAATTTATTGTTTTAATTTGTATTATAGTCAAGATGTTTAGTTGTACTTGCTGTCTTTATCTTTTAGTTATTGTTACACTTATACATTAAAACCTCTCGTTTCTTCTGGTATTATATAGGGTAAAAAATCGTCAATACGACTTTTAGAATAAATAAATAGGTTGCTTGTAATTTAGGATTGTGACCCCGTCGACGTCCACACATTCCACATCAGCTCCGATGCGCACAAAACTTCTTTGCCTCCCCTAAATATATGCCTAAAGTTCTTCTTTTTAAATATTATATGATTGATAAATGTCCCTTACGTATAAGTAAAACGTGATTAAGGTTCATAAAAAATGCAATAAAAGTTTATATATTTTTTAATATGTTTGTTTAATTAAACATGTAGAAAAAGTACGAAAATATTGTCGCCGCTGTGGGATTCGAACCCACGTCTTCGGCATTCGCGGCCTGACGCTCTAGCCACTGAGCTAAACGGCTGATGGCCACAGGGACGAAAATCTTAACGCCTTCTTTCTACATTGTTATTTAGCATTTGAAGTGCAGAGATTAGCACTATAAAAAACTTTTAAAAAAATTATGTTTCTTTAATTATATGTGTTAAACGCCACAGGTG